AGCTTTATTAAAACTAATATTGGATATTATAAAAACAACATTACTAAAGCATTGATTTTAAGGCAAATAACTTTTTTCCAGAAAGCGGAGAACCTCCCTATAATGAACACTTTTGTCGTGCAACTGGCCGTTCATTATGGAGAAGTTGCACTGTATATGGAGAGTCACTATATAGAAAGTTCACTGTATTATATAAATTACATATGTATATGTACAGAGTGTGTAAACCATTTTTGACGATTGTCTTCATAAAATTTTAATTTTTTTGAGAATGTAATAAGTTATAATTATCAAAATTGATTAACTATTTTGTAAAATATTTGTTAATGCCGTATAAAATTAGCAAAACAATAAAATAGTTACCAAAAGTTTCTAAAGGTGAGAACGTCTAAAAGGTGTTGAAAAGGTAAAATAAAATTCTCTGAAAAAATTCCTAAAGGGGTATATTGTGTGCACCAAAACTTTCAGGAGGTTCTCCGCTTTCTGGAAAAAAGTTATTTGCCTTAAAATCAATGCTTTAGTAATGTTGTTTTTATAATATCCAATATTAGTTTTAATAAAGCTGAAACCCTATTGGAAAAAAGTAAATTGCAAATTTGCGAATTTAATTACAAAATTATTTTAAAAATAACAAAATTTCGTAACGATTGCCTACATTTATGACACAGAATATTCTGTAAAATAATGTTAATATTAAAGTGCAATATCATACGACCGCATTGTAATATTATAAATGCTTAAAGAGCTTTGTAATGCATTATACGACAAATAACATTATACAGCAAATATAAAATGTTTTTTTTTCTAATTCAAAATGTGTCCTGGTTCCTTTTAAGTTATTATTAAAAGACTAAATCACTAGTCAAGACAAACTTAAATAAATAATAATCGAATCAATATTTATCATAATTTATTTTCAATTGCAATGAACTTCTTTTGGCTGTCGAGCGAGTGGTTAGCCTACGGGCTAATACTTTTTGTAAGTTTGTGGATAGTATATCGGTAAGTTTGCATTTAAAATAAGTTATAAAGTATTCTAAATAAAGTATTATTCTAATATAATGCACTATAGTTTGCTAATAGTCATTGTTGTTTTATATCTATTTAGGTATTTTACGCGCAATTTTGATTTTTTCACCAAACAAGGCATCACTGGTCCGAAACCCGTTGTATTTTTGGGCAATATATGGGAACAACTATTTGTCAAACCGGAAGAATTAGAGATACAGAGGCTTAAAAAATATGGCAACATTTATGGGTAATTATTAAATATATTACACATTCCTTTATATTTTTACATAACACATGTTATCATGCTAGAAATTATTGTGAGCAATTACAAATAAACAAAGATTAAACGCGATGCTATTCGCTATCTACAAGTCGGTTGATTCTCCAAAGTTCCAGTTCCAGACTTAGCATTAGCTCATAAAATTAGCATTACCCATGTTAAACATACTTTATAAACCTAAGCTGGAATCCCATAGAAACAACTAATTTTACCAATAAAAAAATTCAATCTCATGTTAACCTATGGTAGAAGCCCGATGATAACTCTATATCATAAGATTAAGCTATAATATTGTTTAGGGTGAAGGATCGGGGAGGGGGTAGCGCCGCGATCCTATAAACCACATTATTCTTATCTGGATTTTTGTTTAAAATTGACACAATGTAAAATAAGAATTTATAGTAAAGAATTAGAATATTATTAACAAAATTATAATGGCAATTTTGTTGCCACCATGTTCAACACTGTCCATACCAGAGTGTTTGAAGGCAACCAGGCCACATTATCCGTGGCGGACCCGGTGCTCATCAAACAGATACTGGTAAAAGACTTTCACACATTCGCAGTGCGTCCGGCGCTGAGCAACACTAAGCAACACTTGAAAGGCCAGAGCGTGAACCTAATGACCGGCGATGAGTGGGTGCGCCAGCGGTCGGCGGTGTCGCCACTGTTCACGTCGGGACGTATGCGTCGCGCGTACCCTATCATCGACACCTGTTTACAGCATCTAATGGACACTCTGGCCGAGTCCGGGCCCACAGTCGACATTAATCAGGCGTATAAGTGGTACGCTATGGACGCGATAGGGGCCGTGGCCTGGGGTGTGGAGACTGACGCCCGGCACCGGCCCGACGAGCCGCTCGTCCGGTGCGCCACAGAAATTGCACACATCTCGCCATTGAAGACAGTGTTGTTCCGACTCCTACCACATCGGGTGCTCTCAGCGCTCGGCCTAAACTCACTGCACAGTACAGCCATTAACCGACAAATGCATGAAATACTCCGACAACTTGTGGCCAGTCGTCGCCATCAAAGTCGACACGATTTTATCAGTCAATTGCTGAGCGCTCGCCCGACGACCAGTCGTGTGATCGCCGGTAGCGACGGAACCGATGAAAGCCAATCATACGAAGGACACCATATTAATGAAGGTTAACATAATTTATTGAATAAATAATTACCAGGATTAATTAAAATGCAATTAGAGAGAGAGAGAGAGAGAGAGAGAGAGAGAGAGAGAGAATTATAACTAAATTAACAAATTATATTATAATTGAAAAGATGGTGAAAAAGCTATGGAGAAAAATGAGCGGACAATTGGTGCCAATGAGAGCGCTCTCAACGAATCGGAAATCGTCGCCAATTCGTTGATTTTCTTTATCGGTTCATATCATCACTTGTTCTCAAAGCTGTCGTACTGTACGCTTGATTTGGCCCTCAATCCCAGAGCTCAGGAGCTCCTGTACGCGGAGGTGCGCGCAGTGGCCCCACAACTGGACTCCACAATACCGTACGACACTCTCGTCACTCTACCCTTTCTGGACGCCGTCATATCCGAGTCGATGCGTATGCATAGCACACCTCTACACGTGTCCCGCTGTGCGAACACCGATTACCAGATGCCGGGCACTGGTGTGACCATAAGGGCCGGTCAACTCATACAGATCCCTGTGTACGCCATTCACCACATGGACGAGTACTACCCGGAGCCGCACCGTTTCCTACCCGAGCGCTTTATGCCCGAAAACCGGCGTAAACTAACCCCCTATACGTATCTACCCTTCGGCGCCGGTCCGCGACATTGTGTGGGAATGCGTTTTGCGTTAATGGAGATTAAGTACGCGTTGGCACACGTCGTGCGTCGCTATCGTTTTGTCCGCTGCCCGGAGACCAACGCCTGGCCACCGGTGGCCAGTCATCCGACCATAATTGTGCCCAAATCGTTGTTCGTCGGTGTGGAGGCCCGACACGACTAGATCGTTTATACACAACTGTTTTATAAATTTAATAAAGTTACAATTTAGATAAAACATTATTATCTAAAACAGCTAAGGTAAAGAGAAATAATGATTTTATTTTTACGTGATTATTGAATCACCAAGTTAAATTTTAATCTATTTTTAAAAATTACTAATTACAAAACCTTTCAATTATATTAAAATTAATGAGTATCAGCAGTATTTAAGTTCAATAATCTAAGTTATATGTTTAATTTTTGGTTCTACTTCTTTTTGATTCTAAAATGTTATTGCTCAAATTATTTCTAAAATAAAATTCACTTTAATTGATCATGTTTATAACTCTTTTCAGCCCTATTATAATGAAAATTAAGGCTATTTATAAATGATACTGTCAGCTAAAAAATAGCTTGTATATTATTCTGGTTATAATACCGCTAATTTATACAGTTTTAGACATAATGTGCTCTTAAGTTATACCGTATGTCTTGTGTTATACATTCTCGCAATTCTCATGGACTGTACGACAATAAGCAATGCATTCGCCGGGAGTTAAGTCCTGTGTCTAACCGACTGAAACACCAGTCACTTAAACATTTGCTATAAATTGAATGCAAATCAAGTGCAAGTAGTGTTCCGATTCCGTATAATAACATTATAATGTTTAACAGTTTATACTTTACAGAGAATTGACACTATATTATAATATAAAGTCAGATTCTGGTCTACTATCATAAGACATAAACCACACGCTATAGTCATCAATGAGCAGTTATCAGTAGATATAAGACAATACTGTATTAGATTTTGATTTTAATTTGTTGTGTTACTAGAAAATATTTTGATATTTTGTATGAATGTAAAAATTATAGCTGAAATCCTTGTATTTTTCTGCATTTTAATTTTTAAAAAAATTAAATTAACTTAAAATTCGTATTATTAAAATTAAAAATACACTGGATTAAATTTAGATTTAGTTTACGTTTAATTTATATATTAAATAATGTTAGTGTAATATTGATGAATGACTGTATTTTATATTGCCCTTATTACAAAGATAACAATTACAATGCAAATATCTTCCTAGTTGATTAACTTTTAATTTTATACTGGAACATTCGAAATGAAAATATATAGCTTATTTTAAACTCTAAATGCCATATTTCGTGTTCACAAATATATTATTGTGTAATTTTAACTTTAAATTGTGTAATAAAAATCTATTAAACTATTACAGACATCTAGATTTTATATACATAACTATTATCTAGGATAATATAATTAATTCACAGTAATATTTTTAACTAAATCATTAGTAGTTACATTTAACTCGTATCAAAAACAACTAAACATAATTACTTTACTAATATTTTCTTACGAGTTAGTAATAATTAAGTCATGTTTAAAATTAGCGACAAATTCCACAAAATTTGTGGCAATTATTACAGCAAACGATTTATGGCGGACGCCGTAGAGTACGCGCTAGACTACAAACCACGTTCACGCGATCGCATCATGGTCTATTATCCCAAATCGGACCCAGGTCAGTGGATTGAGTCCATTGCGATCCAACTCGTGACCACTGGGCCACGGCTGGAGGCTTATAATGAGCCAGTTTTGCGCAACTACTTGCTTGAATATCATGGCGAGGCCTTGTTCAAACAAGATGCTAACCTGGCCGTTCCGGCGTTGAGCGAGGTGACTTTCATTCGCAGCCACCTGCCATTTACGCGGTTGCCGTACCGCCCGGAGCCCCGGTATCTGTTGGTGTTGCGCAATCCTAAAGACGTTTGCGTTGAGCTTTACTACTATTTCAACACTGTTTACGAAATGAAAGTTGATTTTGACCAGTATTTTAAGGTATGTTATAATTTAACTAGTATTCCATCAATTCATGGCATTTTAAGCTCAAATTAATTAGTGTAATTTATTTAAGTTAAACCAACTATTTTAATAGCCTTAAAATGAATCACGTTCAAATTTTCAACGACATTTTCATATTGAATTTTGATTTAATTAATAATGATTAACATTTAGAAAAATAATTACTATTATTAATATCCGATTACACCAGTTTAGTACAAACTAATCAAACATTTTCTTAATTTATTTAACAAATTTTACAACTAACCAAATGTACATGTATAGTTATGGGTTAGTGGCACATCAGAGTTACCTTTCGGGGACTACTTCGAGTCGGTATTGGACTACTGGTCGCACCGGGACGACCCAAATTGCACCCTAATCATTTACGAGCGTATGCTCACCGACCCGGCACAAGTCGTCCGACAAATTGCCTCATTTCTGGGGCCCAAATACGTGACCCGACTCACCGATAGGGAGTCCGATAACGGGGAACAACTATTGGAGCGTATGGTTCGCGAATCGGGTTTTACACCAATAAAATGGTCGCCAAATAAATGTGATTCTCGTTTCAATGAAAGGCCCGGCGATTGGAGATCGCGTTTGACTCGTCAACAAAGCGACGCTATCGACGCCCGGGCGGCCCGAGTCTGGTCGGGCACTGGCCTACTCGAGCTCTGGCAACGTGAAATGCAGTGGTAATTGAGTATCATGGTGGTTGTTTTAAAGTTTTTTTAATTTAAAATATTTAAAATAAAAATATATTTAAAACATTGCTAAAAGTGTAATAAAAAACTTTTTATTTTATTTTTATTTGTTTGTTATTATTTGTTTAAAACTGTTTATTAGTGTAACGTTTGACAACTCTCTCCGGTTGGATATATTCAGGGAATATATCAATATATGAAGTGGTTTGTGTCTCTTCTCGTCATTATGGTCGACTGTATCAATTGAATTTTAAAATACAATTTATTTTAATAATGTGCTCTAGGCGAATGTTTACTATATAAGTTTATTCAGTAAGCTGTTCAGGTTCACATAGAGTATTAGTTTTTGAGCGTATTCATAATTTATTTTATCGAGTGCAATAAGTTTATATAAAATTATTTTATTAATCAAGTTAAATAATTCTAGTAGATATACCACACTATCTACCTTAAATCAAATCATACTGTACTTTCAAATCAAACTTTATTAAATTTTTATCAACAAAAAGCAATTTAGTAATTAAAAATTTAATCTAAAAATTTGACAAAAAGATAATTATAATCAGTTACTTAAGATCATATTTAACAATATTTGTATATAAATAATTATAATCTTAAATTAAGCAAGTGAAAATTTTGATTATCAATGAATACAGTTTTATACTACTTTATAAATTTAAAATTACTACCATGGACCATTATCGAATTCGCATTTAAATAGTGCATAGTTTGAATGTTTATTGTCGTGCAATAATACGTCCGGTATTTCGCATACAGCGCTGGGCGTCGGCCATATCGTCGCACAGTCGGAGTCGAATCGCCCGCAAACGGTGTCCGTATGTCTCGTCAAAGAGTGCCGACTCTTCGACAGACATGTGTCGCCTCCCGTCGCCGACAGTGGCGTTGCCGACAAAGTTTGCCTTCAAATTCAACGCTTGTTTCATATCAGACCTGTTGGCCATCGGGTTGTCGCGCATCGCATCGGCCGTACAGTGAGTGACGATTGCGGTCACCGTTTCGTCAGTAAATTGTTTGCCGAGAAAGCGGGCGATTGTGCAGACCATTGCCGGCAAGTCTGCCCTTAACTCCTCGTACGCCACGAATAATACGTTTGCGTGATTTGAGCCATAAGTGAGCCAAAAGTCATTCAAGTGTTGAAACCAATCGCCGTTTAAGACATCGCCGTCGAGAAAGAGTTGGTAGAAGTCGTGCCAATCAATGGCCAGGAGTTTCATATTGTGGTGAAAGCGAAAGGCAGACAAACAACAGTCCTTTGGGTTTCGCACGATATAAATGATCTGCAAAATAAAATCATTGCTAATTTCTATACGTATTGTTTAGACGTTTTATTGATCTGTAAATTGTTTTCAATAATTTAGCGATGATTTAAATGAAACACAATTTAAAACATGAAATTAACACATATCATAATAAATTACACTAATATTTATACTCTCTCTCTCTCTCTCTCTCTCTCCCTCTCTCTCTACCTTTGCAGTGGTTTCCCGAAACGATGGCAACCATTGAATGGGAAAATGTGTGACAATAACTCTGGGATCGGCCAACTCGTGGAAGTACTGCAGCACTGGTTTCGACAAATTGTTTTGAAAAAAACTCGGAACGCGTTCACCGATTGGTCGGCCCAACACTCTGTCCACCACTCCGTCGGCCATTACGAGCGATACGATCTCTGAGAGCCAAGTGTTGCCCGATTTGCGATACCCGCAGAGCCACACATCTGTCGGCCTAACAGTCATGCGCTTAATACCGGCCAACAATTCAACATGGTCTGGCATGTTTATGGTCAACTGGCCATCGTGCTCCACCAATTTTAGTGCCCATCGCAGCCCTATATTTTGCTCGGCGTTTCAGTCGTTCGCTTGACATCGGCTTTGAATTCATAATTATTTGATATCTGGTATAAAATATAATTTTTATATAAATTCAAAATAATTCCAACTCATAATATAGTGTAGTATAGTTAGAATAATATCCTGCTACTTTTAACCAGAATTGTCAAGTAATGTTTATTTAGATTCTATCTAAACCAAGGTGATGCGATAGTTATTTTTACCGAGTTTTATGCCAAAAGTTAATAATAAAATAACACTGTTTGTGCATGTTTTAGAGGGGTACCAAGTGTTTTACGTAACTACTATGTCGAGGTTTTGTAAAAGTAAAATATATATTTTAAAACTACTCTTCATGCTGACAATAATATAGACATTGTCTTCAAAAACTTACTTATATTATTTATATTGATAGTAATGCTAATAAGTTTGCACTATCAGCCCAGCCTGATATAAGTTATATCTTATGATCATTTGATTAGTAACTTTTTGATACGCAGTTTTTGATAAAAGTTCAATTATTATTTAAATATACTAATTAAATAATGACTGACTTTACGGGCAATTTTAAACAGGTGTCGACCGATAACTTCAATTCTGTGCTTAAAGAGCTAGGTATTTAATTATTTTTATTTTAAAACAAACTTGTACATTTAATATAATGTTTAACTTTAATTGTAAATCTGTAAACCAAAAATTGTATCAGGTGTAAATGATGATGCACTCCCCAAATTAGGGCGTTCAACAGCGGATATCACTATCACTAAATCGGGTCCAGTGTATACCTATACGTTGGTGTTGCCCAAAATGACCAAGGCAATAAAGTTTGAGCTCGGTAAAGAATTTGATGGTAAATTCGTGAGTGGTCCAGAATACAAGGTATAATATAATATTATATTTATTTAATTAACAAGTACAGACGCCCGTAATTACAGTAATATTCCTATATTATAAAATGCATATAATTAAATGCAAGTGTACTCTTTAATCAGATTTACACATTTTTACATACATGTACAGTATACAGTATATGCTTATTGTATCATTTGCTAAATACAATTAAATAATTATATTATTGTTGTGTTGCGTGCATCTAGTACAATTTTTATTTTACTTTGTTTAATTATTTTAATTAATAGGCTGTAATTATTGCTGATGGTAACAAACTGGTCCAGACAAGTAATATTGGCGATAAAGTGATGATGGTGGTTCGGGAGTACACGGATGATCGTCTTATAGTGACGACCACTTTCAACTCAGTCCAAAGCATTGAAGTCTATAAACGAGTGTAGACTGTAGTAGTGTGTCCACACCCAAGGGGTGTCCACATGTAATGTTTACAAGTTTTAATTGTTATTTTTATAAATAGCATTTACTTGCCTAAATTTAAAATTGATTATTTGCTTTGTACTGTAAAGAATGGCCAAGGGCCAATATAATAAGTAATAATAATTACGTTAATTGAGATTAATTAGTAGTGTTCTATAATGAATTTTATTTAATATAATAAAATAAAAACAATATTAGTTATGTTTTGATCCAGAATGCTTATACAATTGTTGTTACAATAAACTTATATAACATGTATACAAGATGTTATTATAGATAACAATGAATGAATGTTAAATATATCTAAATTATATAATTGTTTCAACGAATACCGTAATGATATTATTTATATTGAATTGTAGACTTATTAATTTTATTCAATAATATAAATAAAAAATATTTTCAAATTATAAAATTTGCTGAAACCAATTTTAATGGTATCCAGATACTTCATATGACCACTGCATTAAATAATAAGTGTTTTTCTTATGTGTTAACTTTTAAAAGAACTAATCTATTAATTTACAAAATATTCTGCTATCATAAACTAATTTTTTAAAATGAACTAGTTCATAGTATGAAGTTCATACATTATTAATATTCTGTATTTTTTGTTAAAAGTACTGTATTTTATATTATATTACAAGTGATAGTATTAATAATAATGTCATTATACGTGTTATTTGGTAGCCTCTGTTGTGTGGTTTTGATCACGTATAATTATTTGCATGTATTTTATAGTATATCATTTAAATAATATAAATTATAAATAACATTTACAAGCTAACAGGGGAGATAAACAACAAATTAATTTGGAATTATTTTTGAAACAAATATAAATAAACTAAATGTGCTTTATCAACATTATTTTAAAAACATTTAAAATATTAAATAAACTGTATAAAATATTTTATTCTTTAATAAACTGATTACCATAAACATTCTTAAATTATTTACACTAAAATAAATTTTTAACAAACTTAATTCATTATAGTAAAAATAAAATCTTTAATTAAAAATGTAATAATAATAATATTTTCATGATATTTTTTCAACTCAAAATAAATTACATTTTATATAAAATACAAACTATTGTTATCTCCGATTATATAATTATATACATTAAAAAACCAATAATTGAAAAAACAATTGACATTAAGATAAGCACGAAATGAATTATAAAAATTAATATATAAAAGAGACAAAACTATTTAGTTATTTCCCAATTGTATGTAATCTCATTTATTAAATTAATACAGATATATTATTGTATAAAATTCTAGATAAAAGTTTACTATATAAATACAAACATTAAAATTATTTAATTTACAAATTAAAATTCTGACAATATAAAAGTCTACTATAAATTATGTACAATAAAATTACCAACAGTTAAACTAAATTAATAATTTAATAATGTGTCAATTAGAACATTCCTGCTACTTAGATGTTCTTATATATACTGTATTATATATAATACTGTATTAACCAGGACACCACGACCATTTAATGAACATTTAAATATTGTTAATGATTAAATTAAAAATAAAATATATTGCAGTATAATAATAGTCTCACGACATAATCCTGATAATTGATGATTATTTAATAGATTAATTATTAATTCACATAAAACCATAGTATTTATTACACTGTATTTTCTATAATAAACAATAGCTTTCGATCATTTTAGCAAACAATTCATAAGTGCTGTTATTATAAATCCCATAATTAATGACAATGTTTTATTAATCATATATTATTACATAGTGTTAACAATGCCTCTTATAAAATAATGTTATTTTAGTACATTTAGCTTAATTTATAATAAATTTATATACTTTAATTCAATACATGTTTTATCTCTAATGTTAAAACCTTTGTATAAATAACATAATATTAAATTTAACATATAAGGACAAAAAATGATGGTTGTGATCAAGTGCTGATAATTTACATACATACAATATGTGATATTATTTTAATATAAGAATACAGAATTTTAAATTTCTCTCTCTCTCTCTCTCTCTCTCTCTCTCTCTCTCTCAGGAATTTATTGTTAATTATTTCGTAAATTCGTTTCAAATATATTAATATAATCATATAATTTATAAAATTAAATATAATACTTTCATAACATTTTACTTAATAGATAATACAATAATAGATCTACAAAACTATATAAACAATATATAAATAACACATTTTATATACAATGTATAAACTAAACACTAGACTATTTAATAAATATAAATAGATATAAGAATTGCATTAAAGGAAAATATTTATGTCGTTAATAATAATAAACGCATAAATGCTTAAAGTTTTATGAAGATTAAATGTGTGAATATAATGTTTTATGGATACTATTGGTTACAATCGCTGGAAGAGATAATTGACATAGAGTTCTATTTAATAACACTTATAGATAGGGCTCAACACATAGTCATCGCAATATTGATAACTATCGTAACGACAGAAATACTATACATATTTATTTGTCATTAAATTCATTAATTTCTTACGCAAAACAATTGAAACACATTTTTCCTTTTAAAATTATCACGTTTTTAATGGAAATGTAGTTTACGCTAAAATAACGGAAATTGTTTAATCATATTGTTGTTTAAAAAATCATTAATGTAAAAAATAATCATTTGCTCTATTAGCAATAAATTAAGCGAGTAATATAAAGTAACATACTTAAATATTATTTAATCAATTAACTAAAAATAACCATGCTGTGTGTTAACTACTTAACCGGTTTATTATGTATAATAAGCATCATACTAATTTATAACAATGATAGTGTTCTGGGTGGTTTAATCAGTGAGTGGATGTTACCAAACCCATGGGTATCGCCCGAGTGCGAAGAGAAATATGACCTTGCTTCAAAACAATGCGGTGAAAAACATGGCCACGAATGGAGACAACGGATATCAGCCAAAGAGATGGAGAAACAGTCGGAACAGAAAAAGATGTTTTGTTGTATGAAATACGATGTCTCCGATTGTA